GTACCAATCATTCCATGAGGTTGTTTGCAACATCGCGATATGAGTGCATTCGTAACGCTGTTTAGGAAAGCTCCCAGGAACTACCAAAGGTCAAGACTGACCACGTCGACGAAGAGGGATATTCGATTCCTGCGATCAATAAAAAGAGTGGAGTGAACAAAGAGCTTTTCCAAGGAGATATCCTCCTCACAGAGTGCGTGCTGGTGATCAAAACAAACTGATGATCGAATCTAGCAATCAATTTTTTAAGGTCTCAAATTGAGGACATCAATAAGGAGATCAATGAATCAATCGGAGTAATCCAATCGAAAATCGAAAATCTAACTGCTAGCCGCAACAAGCGTCAAGCAGTTACAAATCCATACAATCTGTGGACTCGCAGAATTGTGAGCTTCTCACTTCGACCGTTCTGTTGGTGAGACAGGTTTTGTGTAATCGACGGAAAGATATTAGGATAAAAGTGAATTCTAGATTGGAATATCATCCGAGTTTTCGTGAAAGCAGCCATGCTGTGGCAGAAAGATTCATGTGTCAATTTCGTATATAACCCTATAGGTGAGAGTGGAATTTTTCGCGTAATTCTTCGAGAGCACACGTCAGGATAAAGTTGGTAGGGTAAGAACTTGATAAAGAAAAAAGAAGGAGAACCGTGGAGAACACAGAAAATGTAGGGCTTTGTTATACGATGTAAAGGAAGTCAAAGGCACGCGCCCGGGGGCGGTATTCAATCCTTCCCCTAGGGGTTGGGGGACGAAAACCCTTTAAATTTTCTCTGTCTTCCCAACTGGGATTGTCCTGATAAAGGGCCTACATTTAATGTATGTATGTAGGTCAAAGTAAACATGCATTGAAAATGAAGAAACTACATCGTTAAAAACAAATAAATTTAAAGGGATTTCCGTCCCCCAACCCCTGGGGGAAGGATTGAATACCGCCCCTGATCGTGCACGCTCACCTGTTTCATACTAAAGCGCAGTAGCCGGGCAGACAAGCGTTGATGTCGCGCCCCTTTTGCTGCTTGAAAGTGCGCGACAAAGGCGCAGGAGCTCGCTCGACCCGCAACTCACACCTTCGTCCGCAAGCCCCACCCGCTGTCGGTTGCCACGTGGCGCTGCTTGAAAAGCGCGGGCGCATTTGAGGCAGCGGTCCCATTGCGGTCAATGTCATTGGCACTGGAGCAACTGGAGTTAGGTTCGTGAAACTCGTCCAACACGCCCCTTCTCTATCTCCAAGGTGGAATGCGGCTGAAATAGAGGAGGTCCCGATCAGGGGCGTGATCGGGTGTTTCTCTTGCTCTCTTTTTTCAGACCACCCTCCTTCAGGGACTTTAAAGTTGTATGCGGATACATAATCGTGGACCACTCGAGAATAGCGATATAAGGATTAAATACAAAACCATAAAACAGAACTTGGATATAAGTAGAACTTTCCCGCCGGGGAACGAATTGAGCACGGGAGCGTTGCGTTCGCATTGGCGCGCACAATCTTCCCCTCGACCCAGCGCGGATAGACCGAGGCGGACTACTAATTTTCAAAGAGTGTAATTCTGTTCAGCGTCAATATTTTTCAAAATGCAAAGTGGATTTGTAATCTACGAGACCCCTAGTTTCAAAAACAACCACTTTTTTGTAGTTCTCTTCGAAACTGTGCTTAGTTATGGGGTAGAGAAACCGGATTTAACAGAGATGCGCATTTCCTCCTCTGAAAGGTTGGAGTTGTAAGGATCTAAGCTGAGTTCACAAAGGCCAAAGAGAAAACGGGATGAATCACGTTACAGTGCGCTCCCCCGTCGCCTGCTATCCTTCATCCACCTACCTTACTCCAGTGGACTGTATTCTGGTATTCTGTCTAGTAGACAATAAACTGATTCCTTTACTGTGTACTGTGTTTGCTAGAGGAGAAGTAGAGAAGCTCGAGCTATAACTGAAATCTCTTCAAATAATGAAATTTGAGAAGTGGTAAGAAAATTTTTGAACACCAGATTGTTTCCTTTCTAAAAAGTACTCAACTTTTGCAACGTCTCTTTTCAAAAAATCGCCCGTTGGACAATTTTTTTCAGAACCAGGTTTTTTGGCTTTCAATGACTATAACTTTCTTCAGAATGAACCTTTTGCAATTCTTGTCCCTTGGATAAACTAGAAGGTTGAGCTTTCTAACGAATACTGAGCTCTTTCAAAATTGATGGAGTCAAAAATCGCCCCGTTGGACCGTTTTGGGGAAATCGCGGACCGATTTTTCGCAGAGCGCTGGTTTTTTGGCTTTGAACTGTTATAACTTTCTTCAGATGAACTTTTTGCTTTCTTCCCAAAATGACTCTTTCAAAAAATCGTTCCCGTTGGACCGTTTTGGGGAAATCGCGGACCGATTTTCCGCAGAGCGCTGGTTTTTTGGCTTCAAACTGTTATAACTTTCTT